CTTATCGAGTAATGCTGTGTCTATGTGGGACTTATATGAATTATGTATAATATGACCCTGACAAAGTGTAGAGGCACTTTATACCGTTATAAGGTTTTATATAGGAAAGTATTTTTCTATTATATATGCTGTTATTCTTTTGCATTCAATGCCAATGGGCAAGGTATAAAATACGAGGGTAAATGAATATTGAATTATATATTATAGGACATACTGTGCACTATTTTGCCATTTATATTATACTCGCGTGTCGACAAAATAGGAAAAGCATATTAGTTATCTAAATTCTATACTGTAGATTCCCTAACAATTTTTGTACCTTATACACTCCTTACTACCTAGTGTTTAATACAAACGATGAATTATACAATAATTTAACCTATTAAAAAAAATATGCGATGTCTATAAACAATTTTTGAATCAATAAATCAATCAACAGAGATTCAATGTCCATTTGGCTTGTATCTATTTATATAAAGCGTGTGCGCGAGAAGACCTCAAAGCTCAAAAGGAGCTACGACCTACCACAGTATTGTGTTGAAATTAACAAGTAAATCAATTCGAAGATAAATATACCGTTTCCAAATAGCGCTAACGGCATATTATAAGAATATTATAAATATGTGAAGTGAACCAGAGGCAAAACAGAAACGTGTGAAATGAAAATGCGCCAGAGGCCTCGAGAGAACATTAGAACAATTTCAAAGCATACGATCATACGTTTTTATTGCTTGACTTCTTGACTTGTCTGTTGCTATAAAAATATGTTTAGCATGTTGTTTATAATTTAAAAGCAAACAGGAACCAAATTTAGCAAGTATTTAAATTTCATATGATTCTCAAAGTTGATTGTACAGAACATTCTCACTCCTTGCAATCGAAGTGTAAAGTGCGGAAGTGGAAGCATGTAATTTGATACTTTGCGTACTCCCCCTTGGGCGATCAAATTTCCGCGTGCCACGTGACCAGCCCCAGCCAGGGTCTTTGCTTCCCAAGAGCAAACAGCCTGGGAACGAGGTTGATTTGGGCAATGTTATAAGGCTGCTGAATCGGCAATCGGCTTCCTGTGATTGTTATAGCGGTACCATATAGTGAGTTACGTGTTGAATGACAACCGGCTAACAAAGTTAATCCTTACACCTGTATTCTAAAAGGTCACTCACATTAATTGAGTGAAGATTCAATCTGAGCATCTCTTGAGTGTCAATGCTGTTTTTGAATAGCTGGAGAGTAAGTAGTTACATAGTAATGTACGACACTAATCCTCTATAGCTATTTGAAAAACGGCTATTACTATAACAAGGAATGGGGAATCGGGGAAAGGAATCGGGGAACGGGGAATGGGGAATGGGGAATGCTAAAACCCGGAATACTAAAATGGGGAATCTCTAAAACCCGGAATACTAAAATGGGGAATCTCTAAAACCCGGAATACTAAAATGGGGAATCTCTAAAACCCGGAATACTAAAATGGGGAATCTCTAAAACCTGGAATACTAAAATGGGGAATCTCTAAAACCCGGAATACTAAAATGGGGAATCTCTAAAACCCGGAATACTAAAATAGGGAATCTCTAAAACCCGGAATTGACTAAAATGGGGAATCTCTAAAACCCGGAATACTAAAATGGGGAATCTTTAAAACCCGGAATACTAAAAGCCGGAATCTCTAAAACCCGGAATACTAAAATGGGGAATCTCTAAAACCCGGAATACTACAATGGGGAATCTCTAACACCCGGAATACTAAAATGGGGAATCTCTAAAACCCGGAATACTGAAATGGGGAATCTCTAAAACCCGAAATACTAAAAGCCGGAATACCATATGTGGTCACAACACAACCAGCTAGCTTTTGCACGAATTCAATATAACCATACATTTATACAAATCCAACGTAGTTTGTTACGAAATAATTCTCGCAACTTCTTGCTTCGATCAAGGATTACAAAAGATTATAAACTCCGAAAACTATATTCCGCAAGAAAACTGTCATTATAATATCATTTTTAGCCAATTTAATTAGTTATGTAATATATATCTTATAGTTTTGTTTGTGGAAACACCACGTAAATTTATTACTGCAAAGCTTTCGATCCGTAAGCCCGGATCTTCAGTAATAAAATATTATTATTACCCGGATATTCAGTAATAAATTTACGTGGTGTTTCCACAAACAAAACTATTATATGTTTTATCGCCATGCAAACATACAAAGAACTTAATATATATCTTATATCGAACATATTTAATATGCATGTAGTACCAACTAAAAAGATGAATACACTGCCATTACAAGTTCAGCCACTTTCAGGTTTTTTTTAAATATTTTAAATCTAGATCGACATTTTCCATTCAGCCAGTTTGTGAACTCAATCGCGTCGTTTTGGGGCAGTGTGAAATGGATAAATTCTAGCAAAAACATCAATTCATTTTTTTACAGTAATTGAAAATAATAATAAAAACTTATATAGCGCAAATTAGCATGTAAATATGATCAAATGCGCTTCACAGGAATTGATATAGACTAACCTATTTACATGCTATTTACTAACTTATTTACACATATATAAAAACCTGATTAGGCCTAATTTAATTTAGTTAAACGTTAAACGCAATCTCAAAAAAGGGAGTCTTCAAAATGTTCTTAAAACCTGTAAAATTATTAATGTTACGGATATGTACGGGTATAGTTTATTCCAGAGTGTTGGGGCAGCAGATGTCTGTCGCCTATCTGGAGCCTAATGTCTTCTTCAATTTTGAACTCACTGGGCGAAAAATCAAATAATCCGACCTCTATACCTCGGAATATTGTTAGGAATATTAGTAATATTCGGGGATATTCTGAGGTATTCGCTCGGAATATTTCCGGAATACTCGTAGTAATCTGCGCAGAATACGTCGGAATAAACTACACCAAATATTCCGAAGCAAAATACTGTCGGAATACTATACATGGCAAGAATTTATACATTTTTTTGAATATTTTCCAGTTAAATTGATTTTCTTTAACTTAATCATACAATGGAAGCTAGCTTGTTGTCCCTGGGGTGAGAGGTTGGAATAAGTAATATTAATGTAAATGTAGGTCATATCTGGTGCGCCTAAATGATAATATTTTTAATATCTACTTATGAAATGAGATTAATGTGTGTACAAGAACTTAATTATGTAGCTACTCATTTGTCAGTAGCTATCTGAAAGCTGGAAGAATTTTGATCATGTTTGCTACTCATTTGCGTCGCATGATATGATGTGCCATGCACTTTTAAACTATCCAATTTCATATTCATGCAGGAAAGGGAAATATACAGGAAAAACTGAATTTCGCTGTCAATTTCGCAAAACTGCTATTAGTATCCAGTTTTGATCTACATAGTTTCTTTGGGTACTTATAATGTAGAATGAAAAAAATTTCTCGACTTAAATTTTGTAAACCGGGGGGGGGATTTTCCCAACACAGACCGCGTAGCTCAGTTGACAGAGCATTGAGCTAGCATTGCAAAGGTCGTATAACTATTCATTTTTATAACTATATATATATATATACCTATTCCTTTTTTTCCTAAACAAAACGCTACACGGAGCGTTAAGTCGCTGGATGGAGGACCGTGCAAGTTTAAGTGCAAGAAATATCACTAATTAAAGAAGAGCAAATTTGTTCAGTTTTTTTATATTTAATAAAAAACCCCTGTAATTTAACTTCAGACAATGTGTTATTATTGCGCATTTTTAGTGACAGAAATAAAAAAAAACAAGAAAATCACGCTAAAAATGAGGATTTCATGTATAGTTAATTAAGATGACATTGCTATTGGTAATTTAATTTAAGATGACAGCAGTTTGATAAAATTTGAATCCATCTGTTTTTATTCAGGGTTCCTCTTCTCGCATGGAGAGCGCCATTCTCGTACCCAGAGCCCTTCTTACGCGCGGTCAACGCAGCGCGACGAGGGGCTCTGGCCAAATCCATAACCGGATACCATAAAAAAATGTAAGAAAACAATATCCGGTATTAGAACTAGCCAATCAGATGCCAGTTCGGATATCGATTTGGCCAGAGCCCCTCGTCGCACCGTGCGTGAGAAGGACTCTGGGTACGTGACAGCGCAGGATGAAAGCCTGGGTTCAAGGATGTAAAATGTCTCGATGTTTGGGAGTCCGGTCAGCCTTAACAAATGTCAAAAAAGCAGGCTGTAGCGATTCACATGCACAGATTCCAGTAGATGCCATTATGGCTTTGGCAGGTTTGGTCAATTTTGGACTTGCGTATGGTAGCTATTGCCACAGAGCTATTGCGTCACATCACGGTCACATGTAACCTCAAAGTTGCCAAAAATAACGGAATAAAATCTCTAGGTCTAAGCTGCTGAAAATATTGACAATTGTAGAAACAAGGAAACTGTAACAGTCCTATACCTCTCTTATTTATTCTCAACTTAATATTAACATACCTTTGTAAATAGACGACTATACCACAGGAGCAAACAATTATACGCCAATAAAATCAGCTTTAAGAGTGAGTATTCGTATTCATTCTTCATCGACGTATATTAAATAGAAAACTTTAAACCATATCACTAGTTCTGTATCAACTGTGATGTGGCAGGAGAGAAAATACTCTCTTCTTTTGAGCTTATGGCAAATACCCACCCAAAAATTCAAAAGTGAGTTTGGGAACAAAGTCCGAAGAGTAATACAAGAAACAAAACTTAGCTACTTACGTTTTTCATTTGATTCAGAAATCTGATAGTCAGATATATAAATGCCCGAATTGCGAGAAACGCAAGGTTGCTTTCTTTCTTCTTCCATATTTTTTACGTCAATGCAAATAAGAAAATGCTACAATTAGCATGAAAAATATTTGGAAAAATATTTGTTTTTTGGCGTTCGCTAATTGAAATTAGCACAAACACCAGTCAGGGATCGGAGATTCAGATCAATACGTAAATCATGCAACAGTAAATTCTGAAATCATAAAACAATATTCCAAAGTTTGATTGTCGAATTGTGCCTATACACATCTTGTTGGCTCTTGCCTATAAGTGGACACGAAAACGTTTGGGCGCGACATTAAAGATGTGACCCTGCAGTAAAAGTAAAAGTGAATAGCATTCATTATCATATGGATACATATACAAGAAGCAGTTTGCAGCTTGTACGTCTCAGTAGCTGCCTGGTATGATACCGAATTCATATTTATGCGACTGAGACAAGTGAAACGTGAACGCAGGAAACATAAATATCAAGTATAAATGCATCAAATCAAACATAAAATAATAGAATGCAAACTAACTAGGATATTTTAGATATAAAGCACGTCATTAAATCTAGACTAAATGTCTAATTCCATTAATGTCAGAGACAACTAACTCAATTAAGGTTATCCTCAAAGTCCAATTTGAATAGCAAAAGGCCCAATGGACGTAAATAAATATGTAATACAGGAGGGACAAAGCTTGCAAATGGTGTATTGCTAAGATGTTAAGAACCATGCAATAAATTAAGAAAGGACAAGTCAGAGGACAACGTTAATTGAATTTGCTGTATCCGTTTGTGCTATCTAGTATGTTTATTTTGATATAGAATTAAGCACTTCTTGTGCTGCGTAGGTGATCGTTCTCCGTGCAGTAGATCTCGGTCCTGTTCCAGCACCTCCGCCCCTGCCGCCTCCGCGTGTTCGAATTCCACGTCCACGAGTTCTGTTTGTGTTGACAGGGCCTGCAATTTCAGCTGTTTCGACTGGCTTTACAGCCCAAGCAGGTGCATCATTTGGCGCACGTTTTCTGGAAAGTGCCGAATGCGTTCTTTTCGTGCGTTCCTTCACGTGGTCTTTCCTCCTCTCGTTTGCCCGAATGTCCAACGTACCAAAAAACTGGGTGAGATCATCCGCCCTCCAATTTAACTTCATGTGGCACCAACCTCCATCAGAAGCATCCGCGTCCTCAGAGATGTACTCCACTTTAAGGGCCGCTCCAAACTCTTCTTGCTCCTCCTCTGTGGCCACCTTCAACCTCATTTCCAATAACTGCAACGTAAATTAAATCCATTTGGCACTAAATTAACCAAGAAGCATACAAACACTGACTTATTTTTCCATTTTTTTAAAGAGATATTATTATTATTATTATTATAAAGTTATTTAACAACGGTAACCCTTCAGGCAAGGCTGTTTTATTACTGCCGTTACAATTGAAGTGTTCCTTAAATATTGATTCAATACATTACCTCGGGCTGACCAATTCATTTGATCAAGTTCCTCGAAATATTCATATACTTCCTAGTATAATTGTAAACTTCCTGTTGAATAGTTTGAATGCACCAATCAGCTTTGTTGTTTGTGCAACTAACCAATCATATATAGAAAGGAAGTGACCAGAAATGATCAAATTCTTGGAATTGGCTCTTTCACAGGAAGTGTATGAATATCTCGAGGAACTTGATGAAATGAATTGGTCAGCTTGAGGTAATGTATTGAATCAATATTTGAGGAACACTTCAATTGGAACGACAGTAATTATTTACAAATTAACTTTTCAAACTACAAACTAATCTAGGTATATACAAATACAATGAAAATAACGTCAAATACATGCTCTCTAGTTAAATTTTAAGAACGAATCCTTATTCTCGTTAAGAAGAGGAATTAGAGCAGATTTCAAACGTCATTCAATTGACCATTTGCGTAATAGACTAAATTTTGATCTCAACAAAAATTTCATTACAGCTTGAAAGAGCATCACAAAATTAGTAATACTCCAAAGTTTCGTTGCGAATTGTTGTAAAATGCGGAAAATATAGCCTTGCGAAGTTTTCAATTTTCAGTCATTTTAGATTACAAACGGGAAATTGACAGCCCCAAACCCTTCGAGGCTGTCAATTTCCCGTTTGTAATCTAAAATGACTGAAAATTGCAAATTTCACAAGGCTATATTTTCCGCATTTTACAACATTTTGCAACGAAACTTTGGAATATTACTAATTTTGTGATGCTCCTTCAAGCTGTGATGAAATTTTTGTCTAGACTTGTTTAGTTCAAAATTTAGTCTATTACGCAAATGGTCAATTCGTAAAAATATTTATCAAGCAAAATTTGAAAATTGCTCATTGGCCTTATAGTTAAGACATCTGGTAAATTATTCCAGGCGACAGCGCCCCGGTACGAGAAACTTTTTTTCATAAAGTTTCAACTGGGTTTGCCCAAATGCGAGCTTCCATCTATTGCTTCTCATATTGTATGTACTATTCTCACAGAATTTAAACATATTATTAATGTATTCCGGCGCAGTAAAGAGGATAGCCCTGAATGTCATTAGTGAAAAAGTAGGCGAATTAAATAAATATTGAAATAAATAAGTGTTACAATCTTGATTATACAACACCCAATTAAATTACGGCTATTTAGCAAGGAAAATTTTACCTTCCCCCAAAATACAATATGTTTACCAATGCACTTATCGACATTAATTTTTTTACAACAACAACAACAACAACAACAACAACAACAACAACAACAACAACAACAACAACAGCAATCAATAGGATATTAATACCCTTTCTCTCCTACTTCGCATACACATCGTGAGTTTCTTTCTTGGTGTAATTGGATTGCGTGCCAACTTCGTCCGCGATTGAAAATGAATTTTAACAGCATCTGCAATCATACAAAAATAAATTTTCGAAAAAAGACGTTTTGCAATACATAGTCTGGTCATTCGAACCACATCTCACCACACAAGCCAGTATCAATGACCAACATCAGGATACGAGATAGATGGCCCCATCACAATTTTAGTTAACTTAATTAATTGTACAATTATAAAAAGCATATACACTTAGTGAATTTTAAATTTACTTTATTGCAATGGTAAATCTGTGTACATTCAGACGACACATCAGGACATGAGCCAGATTGGTACCATCACAAGTTGGTTATGTTTGAATTGTTCCAAATATTTCAAGACACATATAGACGTCTTTGCTTTAGAAAATGGTTTAGAAATATGCTATGGCGGCTATCCAATGGCCAACATGTGTGCATCCAGACGACACATCAGGACATGAGCCAGATTAGCACCATCACAAGTTGGTTATGTTTGAATTGTTCCATATAATTCAAGACGCATATATATAGACGTCATTGCTTTAGAAAATAATGGTTTAGAAATACGCTATGCAATGGCCAACATGTGTGCATTCAGACGACACATCAGGACACGAGCCAGATTGTTCCATTACAATTTTAGCTAACTTAATTCAGACGACACATCAGGACACGAGCCAGATTAGTACCATCACAAGTTGGTTATGTTTGATTTGTTCCATATAATTCAAGACGCATATAGACGTCTTTGCTTTAGAAACTAATAGTTTAGAAATACGTTATGCAATGGCCAACCTGTGTGCATTCAGACGACACATCAGGACACGAGCCAGATTAGTACCATCACAAGTTGGTTATGACGTCATCCCTTGGGTATTTAAGAAGCTACGATCGCAGTTTTAGATCACCCCTGATGAAGACACTAGACTGGAGTGTCGAAACATTGGGTCTTGATTACAATTCGACTGGGCTTTGTAATCATTTATTTAAACCAGAGTAGCGAGCGAAACATGTATGTTTGAATTGTTCCACATAATTCAAGACACATATAGACGTCTTTGCTTTAGAAAATAATGGTTTAGAAATACGTTATGCAATGGCCAACCTGTGTGCATTCAGACGACACACCAGGACACGAGCCAGATTAGTACCATCACAAGTTGGTTATGTTTGAATTGTTCCATATATTTCAAGACACATATAGACGTCTTTGCTTTAGAAAATAATAGTTTAGAAATACGTTATGCAATGGTAAATCTGTGTCCATTCAGACGACACATCAGGACACGAGCCAGATTGTTCCATTACAATTTTAGTTACTTAATTGGATAAATATAAAAACATATACACTTAGGGCATTTGAAATTTACTTTATGCAATGGTAAATATGTGTGCATTCAGACGACACATCAGGACACGAGCCAGATTGGTACCATCAAAAGTTGGTTAAGTTTGAATTGTTCCATTTATTTCAAGACACATATAGACGTCTTTGCTTTAGAAAATAATAGTTTAGAAATACGTTATGCAATGGCCAACCTGTGTGCATTCAGACGACACATCAGGACACGAGCCAGATTAGTACCATCACAAGTTGGTTATGTTTGAATTGTTCCATATAATTCAAGACGCATATAGACGTCTTTGCTTTAGAAATTAATAGTTTAGAAATACGTTATGCAATGGCCAACCTGTGTGCATTCAGACGACACATCAGGACACGAGCCAGATTAGTACCATCACAAGTTGGTTATGTTTGAATTGCTCCATATATTTCAAGACACATAAGCGTCTTTGCTTTAGAAAATAATAGTTTAGAAATACGTTATGCAATGGTAAATCTGTGTGCATTCAGACGACACATCAGGACACGAGCCAGATTAGTACCATCACAAGTTGGTTATGTTTGAATTGTTCCATATATTTCAAGACACATATAGCGTCTTTGCTTTAGAAAATAATAGTTTAGAAATACGTTATGCAATTGTAAATCTCTGTGCATTCAGACGACACATCAGGACACGAGCCAGATTAGTACCATCACAAGTTGGTTATGTTTGAATTGTTCCATATATTTCAAGACACATATCGCGTCTTTGCTTTAGAAAATAATAGTTTAGAAATACGTTATGCAATGGTAAATCTGTGTGCATTCAGACGACACGTCAGGACACGGGCCAGATTGTTCCATTACAATTTTAGTTAACTTAATCTCGAACTTATAATTGGATAAATATAAAAACATATACACTCAGAACATTTTAAATTTACTTTATGCAATGGTAAATCTGTGTGCATTCAGACGACACATCAGGACACGAGCCAGATTAGTACCATCACAAGTTGGTTATGTTTGAATTGTTCCATATAATTGAAGACGCATATAGACGTCTTTGCTTTAGAAACTAATAGTTTAGAAATACGTTATGCAATGGCCAAACTGTGTGCATTCAGACGACACATCAGGACACGAGCCAGATTAGTACCATCACAAGTTGGTTATGTTTGAATTGTTCCATATATTTCAAGACGCATATAGACGTCTTTGCTTTAGAAATTAATAGTTTAGAAATACTTTATGTAATGGTAAATCTGTGTGCATTCAGACCACACATCAGGACACGAGCCAGATTAGTACCATCACAAGTTGGTTATGTTTGAATTGTTCCATATATTTCAAGACACATATAGCGTCTTTGCTTTAGAAAAGAATAGTTTAGAAATACTTTATGCAATGGTAAATCTGTGTGCATTCAGACGACACATCAGGACACGAGCCAGATTAGTACCATCACAAGTTGGTTATGTTTGAATTGTTCCATATAATTCAAGACGCATATAGACGTCTTTGCTTTAGAAATTAATAGTTTAGAAATATGTTATGCAATGGCCAACCTGTGTGCATTCAGACGACACATCAGGACACGAGCCAGATTAGTACCATCACAAGTTGGTTATGTTTGAATTGTTCCATATATTTCAAGACACATATAGCGTGTTTGCTTTAGAAAAGAATAGTTTAGAAATACGTTATGCAATGGTAAATCTGTGTGCATTCAGACGACACATCAGGACACGAGCCAGATTAGTACCATCACAAGTTGGTTATGTTTGAATTGTTCCATATAATTCAAGACGCATATAGACGTCTTTGCTTTAGAAACTAATAGTTTAGAAATACGTTATGCAATGGCCAACCTGTGTGCATTCAGACGACACATCAGGACACGAGTCAGATTAGTACCATCACAAGTTGGTTATGTTTGAATTGTTCCATATATTTGAAGACACATATAGCGTCTTTGCTTTAGAAATTAATAGTTTAGAAATACGTTATGCAATGGCCAACTTGTGTGCATTCAGACGACACATCAGGACACGAGCCAGATTAGTACCATCACAAGTTGGTTATGTTTGAATTGTTCCATATAATTCAAGACGCATATAGACGTCTTTGCTTTAGAAACTAATAGTTTAGAAATACGTTATGCAATGGCCAACCTGTGTGCATTCAGACGACACAGCAGGACACGAGCCAGATTAGTACCATCACAAGTTGGTTATGTTTGAATTGTTCCATATATTTCAAGACACATATAGCGTCTTTGCTTTAGAAAAGAATAGTTTAGAAATACGTTATGCAATGGTAAATCTGTGTGCATTCAGACGACACATCAGGACACGAGCCAGTTTAGTACCATCACAAGTTGGTTATGTTTGAATTGTTCCATATATTTCAAGACACATATAGCGTCTTTGCTTTAGAAAAGAATAGTTTAGAAATACGTTATGCAATGGTAAATCTGTGTGCATTCAGACGACACATCAGGACACGAGCCAGATTAGTACCATCACAAGTTGGTTATGTTTCAATTGTTCCATATAATTCAAGACGCATATAGACGTCTTTGCTTTAGAAACTAATAGTTTAGAAATACGTTATGCAATGGCCAACCTGTGTGCATTCAGACGACACATCAGGACACGAGCCAGATTAGTACCATCACAAGTTGGTTATGTTTGAATTGTTCCATATATTTCAAGACACATATAGCGTCTTTGCTTTAGAAGATAATAGTTTAGAAACACGTTATGCAACGGTAAATCTGTGTGCATTCAGACGACACATCAGGACACGAGCCAGATTGTTCCATTACAATTTTAGTTAACTTAATCTCGAACTTATAATTGGATAAATATAAAAACATATACGCTCAGAGCATTTTAAATTTACTTTATGCAATGGTAAATCTGTGTGCATTCAGACGACACATCAGGACACGAGCCAGATTGTTCCATTACAATTTTAGTTAACTTAATTGTATAAATATAAAAACATATACACTTAGTGAATTTTAAATTTACTTTATGCAGTGGTAGGACACGAGCCAATTTTAGTTAACATAATTGTATAAATACAAAAACAGATACACTTAGTGAATTTTAAATTTACTTGATACAATGGTAGCCTAGATATGTTTGCATACGAATAAGATTGCCCGATATACAAATTTATAATTATTAATATGATTCGGTGTGGTACAGAGCTATAATCTACTTTATATAATGGTATATATTAATCTGCTTTATGTAATAAATTAAGAGAAAAAGGATCATTAAGGTAAATTTGGAGAAAAAAAGTTCATGCATTTTATCAAAATTATATTTGCAAGTGTTATATTTTCATATATTTCATGAAGAAAGTATATGATGCACTGAAATGAATGCTACATATAAAATATTTCAATCATTGGTGATGTGAATGATATCAAATTAGAACTTCTTTTGTGGAAAGTACATCATTTTTGACTGTACATAGCCTTGTCTTCATGTTCTTGAAATTACTAGTTAAAGCTTTATATCTCAATCATGAAAGGGAGGCACTATACCCAGAGTGACGCACATTCCAAAAGAATGTAGCCTAGATTAAATATTAAGAATTGCGGTATAGGTACAAAAAACCTTTGGCTGTATTATAGGCAGTTTTTTGCCCAAGCTTTTTTCAGTTAAATAAACTTCTTTGGCGATACTTTTAATCTTTTCTTGGTTTGTTGGCGAATCCGCTCTGAAATTAGAATAAATACATTGACATTGTTGTAAGAATTTTATTGTGTTTTCCCCCGTAAATTTATATGTTTGGGCATATCTCAGGTGAAATGATGAAGGGGAATATTATTTAGGTCAGAAAACCGACTATTTTTCTCAAAATCACTTTTTTACTGAAGTCACACATTCCAATCATCACATAATATGGCAAATTCCTAGTAACTAAATGGAAACCCTGCATGGATAAGCCATCAAATAAATATAAGATAAACGAATACATCACCAACTGCAGAATATTGGAATTAATAAGCATTACTGTTAATTTAAAGAGTTAAGTCGTTTACTCATGGGTGGATTTACTGGGGGGGGGGTTAGGGGGGGGGAGTTCAACCCCATCAAAATTTTGCTTCACCCCTCCTATTTTGCATGAAAGGCTTTAACCCAAACGCCTAACCCTGCCGAAGCTCACTGAGTACTGCTGCTTGCACCCCACCAGAAATTTTTCTACCCCTCCTTTTAAATAAATGAAAATCTGCCCTTGCGTTTACTGCGACCAGTGGTATTTTTTTAACCAAATTTTTTGTGGGGGATGTCCCAGAGTAAAATATTTGAGATTTGGGCAGAAAGTCTGGCTGAACTATCAATTCAGGTAACACTTTTTCAAAAATCACTAATCAATAATTATTGTGACAACAGATGCCATTTTGGCATGCTGTACTTGTATGAGCAGCCCACAACCACACAGAGAAAATAGGGCTGCATGTTTAGCCGCATCGAAAAAATAATAGGGTTGGCAGAAAAAAAGTACGGTCGGTTGGGAAACCAGAACCACAGGTATTTTTAGGCCTATTTCTGCTATCTGGGCTGCCTCGGTTCAATATAAATGTTCATACAACTTGATTCATAAACAGTTACTCATGCCGTATTAGGATTTGAGAGGCACACTATAATTTCCTCAGGGATTAGTGTTTTATAAGGGGCCAATTAAATGAAGCATTTTCAACACCGGGGTTGAACTCTGTTGACCGGGTTCAATACAAAACTCTATCAAAATCAAATGCGCAATTACATGACAAAATTTTCAACGCAGCTAGCATGGTTGAAATTTCAACCCCCGGTTGATAATTTTGTCATGTAATCGTTTCAACATAGGGCTGAAATTATTCATGAGTTATTCGAAGATGTGTGGTAGTGACTATTTATTACAAGAAAACAAAATGAAGGCTTTTTTACTTCTGGGAATCAATGCCCGAGAACGTAGAGCATTTCAACCTTGGGGTTGAAATCATCCATGTAATCGCAAAAAAAATTCAACCTGGTTAACATGTAATCGGCCTCTAAGCTTCCAATTTCTCAGAGGTATAACTATGAGAAACATGTGTCCTCATTTTTATGTAGTCAGGGGATTCAGCAACATGTATAATCAGGGTTTGTCTGGACAGTATGGGCCATTCCATTTAATGTACACACCCCCCTATGGACGAAAATTTCCGAGGGGGGTTGAAAAAGGCATTTCTGAGGGGTTGTGTGCATCGGCATCCTTTGATCTTTGCGTTTTTTCTGAGGGGTAAGGCAAAAATTTCTTAATTTCTGGGGGTGTTTGTGTCGGCACTTTGATCTTTTTTTCTTAGGGTTTCAAATTTTATTGACCTCGTCCATAGGGGGGTGTGTACATTAAATGGAATGGCCCTATTTACTATAGTCTATATTGATAATAGCACAAATATAGATTACACAATGGAAGGATTGTTCTCCCATACAAAGCCATAGTACTTGCTTTGGCGATTAAATCAATCTTAGCTAAATGAGTCAATATTGATACCCTCTGAATACATCGATACATTTATAACAATATTCATTTCATACCTTCTTGTAGCCTGTAGTGTAGTAAATATTCTAGTTTGTTGTCGTTTTATATATCATGATTTCGACAG